GAAGATCCACAGGTGTGGAATAAGGACATACAGATGGTATGTATCTTCACATTGATAGTCAGAACAATATTATTTTATTTTTCGTCTCAAATATTTTTATTTTACGTGCGGTTCAGTGTTAAAAAACTCCTGACATTTTCTCTTTATTTTGTTCAAACAGTTCAGTGTCCAAGATGCAGCATCATCAGAAATTATAGGATATTTCTACTTAGACTTATTTCCAAGAGAAGGGAAGTTTGGTCACGCAGCTTGCTTTGGACTTCAGGTGAATAACCACATTTATTTTACCTCTAGAATATTACGCGTGCTGTGATTGGTCAAATTAGCGAGGGGTATTCTGTTGCATTGCACCCTAACATTTAGAGCTTGTTAAACCTCTACGACACAAAGTAGAGGAACTGGGGCGGATCCAGAAATTTTTGATTGGAGGGTCTAAGCTTTGATTCAGAGAACGCAGAATTTTTTTTTCGCGGCAAACTGAAAATTCAGCCAGTTGAGTAGTGATATGGGATCCTGCTGCTGAAACAATTTCAGGTCTGATAGAATAGAGGTCCAATAGGAGCAGCCGAGTGGGAAAAAAAAAGTGTTGGGTTGGGTCGCATAACGAACGCGTTTTTCATGCGACCCGACCCAACCCTCCCTCTTTTTTTTCTGACTTCTCCGCTACTATCACGTCATATTTACTGTTTTACTTCGTTTTACTTAATGCACGTTTGGAAAAGGTCATATGCTGAAATGAATTATTCCTACATTTTTTTTTTAGCCCGGATGTTTACTGGCTGATGGCAGTAGGCAGGTAATGGTCGCTTCTGTTTTTGTATACCATTTACATTTATTAATTATTCTTGCAAGTTCACCTTCTTTTGGTGTTGGTTTTGTACGTTACACTTCACATCAACTGTGACCCGGCAATATTATTTCAGATTTCGGTTGCAGCCATGGTGGCCAACTTTACAAGACCATCGGGCGACCAGCCATCACTACTGACGCATCAAGAGGTACGATTTACAATTGCGAAAAAAAGAAATCCTTAAGCTTCGTAGGAGCTTCGTGTAACCTTCTGTATGGGCTCATAAATCGACGTGTACAACTCATGTTAATCTTCTCCATCCCTCGCCAATTTTGTTCCCTCTTGGGTTATCATTGCCTCTCTTATGTTTTTCAATTACCAGACCAGTATTTTGTAGTCATTTACTATTTCTTGTAAATCTTCTCCATCTTTTTCTAGCTTTTTTCCTTCTTGGTTTGTTATCGCCTCTTTTGGGTTTTTCTATGTTACTAAACTAATATTTTGAAGTCATTTACAATCCGCGTCAATCCTCTCCATCCTCTGTTATCCTTTTTCCAACTCGATTTATTATTGCCTCTTTTGTGTTTTTCTATCTTACTAAACTGATTTTTTTTTGTAGTCATTTACAATCGTTATCAATCTTCTCCATCCTCTGTTACCCTTTTTCCTTCTCGGTTTCTTATCGCCTCTTTTGTGCTTTTCTATCTTACTGAACCGATATGTTGTAGTCATTTACAATCCGTGTCAATCTTCTCTTTCCTTCACCATTTCTGTTCCTTCTTGGTTTCTTAACACCTTTTTGATGTTTTTTTCTACTTTGTCAAACTAATATTTTGTAGTCATTTACAAATCCTTGTAAATCTTCTCCATCTCTAGCCATCGTTGTGCAGTTCCTTCCAAGTTTATAATTGCCTCTTTACTGTTTTCCTCTCTTACAGTAACAAGAGAATATCTTGTAGTCATTTTAAATCTGCGTTTATCTTCCACATTCGTTGCCATTCTTGTACCACTCTGCTTTATTCTTACCACTTTTGTTTTTGTCTACTCAGGCAAATTATTATGTTTATATAATTATTGTGCGACATTCCTTCAATTCAAGGTGGAGACATTTTTCCATGAGTTTGGCCACGTGATGCATCAGCTATGCGCAAAAGCAGATTTTTCAATTTTCAGGTAAATCTTTTGATTTTCAGTTAATATTTTCTTGCATAGAAGATTGGGCGCCCCACTCCTCCCCCTCTTAAGCCCTGAAACTAATAAAATCCCTGGAGGGGCTTAATAGGGCGTTGCTTCCGGCTTTAGCTGGAATCTTACCGTGTGTTGTCCTCTCTTAAATCTGTAGTGGTACGAATGTGGAAAGAGACTTTGTCGAAGCTCCTTCTCAGATGTTGGAGAATTGGTGCTGGGAAAAGAAACCTCTTCATCGTATGTCAGCCCATTACAAAGGTTTGTTAAAAGGCTGTGAAAAACAGCGCGACCTAAAACAGGATGTGTCAACTACTAAAGTGTTCAGAGGATTGTTGCTCATTCTGGGTTTTTAATGTTTTCCTGGAAACGAAATCTTCTGTTGCAGATTCCAGTTCAGTTCCAGACGAAATGCTGGAGAAACTCATAGCGTCTCGCAATGCGAATACAGGCGTGTTTAATTTAAGACAAGTAGGTGATAATGACTTTTATTGCTATTATAGTCTTTGTTCAAGGCTCTTGGATGTACCAGTGCGAAGCTTTTGTAATTAGAAATTTACCTTGAGAAATATTGGAAATATCGTTGTTAACGTTAAAAATCCTTGTTTTTCTTATTAACAGGTTTTGTTGGCAACATTTGATCAAACAATTCATACTCAAGCTAAGGTACAATTTCTATCTTTATGAACCTTACATTTTTGTGGAAATTTGTAGAAACATAATCTGATTTTAGCCTGAACAGTGAACTGTCTCGTTCAATCCCCACAGGCAAACACTGCGGAGATTTTCTCCAAGCTTTCATCCGAGATACTCCGTATACCATCTTCACCAGGTGGGTTCAAGGGTCGTATAGCACAATTTTCATTGAGTTTCAAATTTATCGTGGAATAAAATTTCAAAATGCATTTTCTTTTCTTTACTCTGTGATTGGTCTGGAAAGTTCGCGCTACCCCTTAACCAATGCAATGCAAAAGAAGAAGCTTTCGTGACTTGGTCACCCGCGTTTTCCCGCGCTCCGGGTAGATTGTTTGTTTTGCCATTAAAACTTCTGTGATTGGTCTGAAAAGCCCGCGCTACCCCCTTAACCAATCAAAAGAAGCAAAAGAAGAAGCTTTCGTGACTTTATCACCAGCGTTCTCCCGTGCTTCGAGTTGTTTGTTTGTTATGCCTTTAAAAGTTCTCATAGGCTTCCTGAGTTTTTTTTCTTTTGTTCCAATCGGCCGATATGATTGCTTTGGGTTTGGTTTGTCGATTCTTAATCGAAATGGCCTCTAAATGTCTTGTACTTACAAGATTCCAGAAACATCGACAAGTGGATTTTTTGGGGTTCAATGAGTCAATGGTTTCTAGGGCAATCATCTGTCATTCTAAAATCGTATGGGTTATGGAGCAAAAAGAACGTTCAACCTACCAAAGAGGCACATTTTTTTTCTCAATAACATTTAGTATTACTACTATTATTATTATTTTTGTTATCATTATCATTATTAGTATTATTATTATTATCATTATTATTATTTTATTTCGCGTGTTTGCAAAGGTAGCTGGTGCAATCCGTGAAAGCGCTTTGGTTTTCAGCATGGCTAAAAGTTTTGCTAGCCTCGCAAAACAGAGTCCAGTTTCCAGACCATTCGGTCACGTCGCGGAGTACTAAAACACGTTAATCTGTGGCTTTACTTTTCTTCTTTAGACACCAACATGCCAGCCTCTTTTGGTCATTTAGCTGGAGGATACGATGCACAGTACTATGGATATCTGGTGAGAGATCATCTTAATTATTTTGAATATGAAAACGATCTTCGTAGTAACGAGCCCTACTTAATCAGTAGGTTTTTCTTCGGGGATACTCGGTTGGTCTCCGGAAAACTTTGGTTGGCGATGCATTTGTTATTTCTTAACTGGATCTAAACCTTGGTTGACTTTTACGCCTTTTCTTTGTCTTCCAGTGGAGCGAAGTTTTCTCATCGGACATGTTTTACACCAGGTTTAAGAAGGAAGGAATCATGAATCCTTCTGTTGGGCTCGATTACAGGAAATTCATTCTTCAGCCTGGAGGAACTCTTGTAAGTACATGTAAATGGAAAATGAAAATATGAAAAAGGTAAAAATTTAAAAATAAAAAAATTAAAAAGTGACCCATCCATTAAGGAAGTTATCTCAGTTTTCGTAGCATGAAGGGACAAGGGATTGCTCAAGACTTTCCCTGGATGGGATCCCAGTCCATCACAGGGTTACTCCCCCCTTTCGGTTTCCCAAGCCTCTCGACTTCTATTAAAAAAGTGTTTTTTTGTGTGTGCATTGAAAGTGTCTAATAAGTGTTTTTTCTCAGGACGCCTCCGTCATGCTGAAAAACTTTCTTGGTCGTGAACCTAACCAGGAAGCCTTCCTTGAGAGCAAAGGACTCAAGAAATAGCAACAGTATAACTTATTATTGGAATTCAGTTTTTCAAAATACTCGCACTAAAACCACAAGACTTTGTTGCCAGTGAGAAAGAAGACATCATTCCTACTTGAAACTTACCCACTCCATCAAATGGGTGTTTATCTTCTCTACCATAAGCTATCGTTACATAAGATCGGTGTACAATTGTCTCTTTTAAGGCCAGTGTCTCTTAGTTTAATTTGAATTTTCAATATGAAATTGTATGTTATTGAATAAGGTTACATAATTTCGTGTTAAAATTGCGTGATACCAAATGTTGTAGTTGACTTAAATTCTGTAACTTAGTTCTTTCACGTAATTTAATTTCTAATTGAAAATTCAAATTTCATTTAAATCTCAAGCTGATGTGTGTGAAGAATAGGGAAAATCTCAATGTAACACCATATGACGGTGTAAGTTAAGGTGAAGTACGTGCAGTAAACTATTTTTTTTTTGCTAATGTTGGCCAGTTTTTTTGTTGTTTATCGCGAATTGCCATTTTCGAGATCTCTAGTTTGCTGTGCAGGTTTACTCTGTCGACAGAACACTTGGGGTTCCTTTGTAAAATGTTTGGCCGCCATTCCGGATTGTAGGTTGTGGAAGATTAGAGCGAAGAAACAGTTTCTTCCAAGGACAACTTGGTTTACGATAGCGAGCCTTTAGAGCAATTTACATCAAAAATGATGCGGTGTTACGTTTATTCTACTTTACTTTGCTCTCTGATCAGTGCTGGAAACTGCGCCATACTCCAAAGCAATTAGATGATCGAAAACTAATGACAACTGAGGCAGTTTTCTTGATTTTATTCTTCACTGGGTACTCATTATACTCCGCTACTCTTAGCCTCTTAGCGTTTCTGATCGAAATGAGCTATAATGCTAACTCTCTTCCCCCCCCCCTAATCTTAATAAGGCATCTGCTCTGCACGCTGGGTCATGTTTGAATTATTAAGGTATCCACCAACCACCACGTGAACCCTGCCAGAAACGTCATTGTGATATACTTTAGCACAATCGAATATCAGATCATTAGGAACCTACTGACAACCTTGTTCGTATCCTTGGACCTGTAAGAGAGTATTTTAAAGAGATCGCAGGAAGATTTTGCGTTGCACAACATTATGTCATAAACCGAATATGACGTCATTGTGGACAAAAATACACCACGGATTATGGTCACTGCGTCACTGTGCATCTCGAGAGATGTTCCAGGTAATTGAAAAAGTTTTTACATTTTTTAAAATCAATTTCAGTCTTCTCCATCCTTGGCCATTCCTGTTCCTTCTTTGTTAATCATTTCTATGTTTGTGTTTTTTCTATCATGACAAACTAACATTTATAAGTCTTCCAAGTTAGAGGACGAATGAAAGCTTGGTACTGCGCATCGCTGGAATAATTATTTGATTTTGGGTGCGTGGGGTCTGGGTATAAGGGTTGACGCCTTGGTTATTGATTACCAGACTCCCACCATCTCGTGTCGCTCACAGCTTTGTAAACGGCATGTCGCAATTGCGATGCTTATGATCAGTTAGAGTTTCTTTAATGGCGATGAAAAGATACGTACTAGCCCAAATTGTGACCAGTACACTGTTTATCACCGCTACCAGAATGTGTCTTTTCCACGCTTTCCGCCAAACTGCTATTATCGGCATGTTTTGGTAGCGAGTTTCAATCATTATGGACAAGCTGTTGAAAAACCACTCAATGGCCAGTGGGACTGACGTGGATATTGCAAAAGACTGAAGAAGCTGGAGTGGAGAGTTGTCACTGGAGTAAAAATACTCATAAAAGTAGAGAAAACCATTGACAGAAATTATAGCAATTGATTCATAGAGCATGCTCATAATGGCAATATCCGCTGCCAGTCTTTCGCGGCGAGGCGTGCGAAATCCTCCCCACGGAACCCTCCTCTTTTCAAAAATCTGGTGGCAAATATGATCTATGAAAACCATGGTGCTGCGCTCGATGACCTCTGCGATGCCATGAATAACTCCAATTACCACAACGGACTTGAATTTCTGATTCAGACCAAGATCCAGTTGTAAAAGTCTCAACATTACCGCTGACCCGAGGTACAGCGGCACTAACAGCACGAATGAAGTTCCCGGATGACTGATACGCGACAACCGCTGGATGCATATGCGGGAGATGCCTTTAACAACTACTGTGATGAGCGGAGTGAATATGGCGATGATCATTTTGCCTGATCTGTCTTCTTTGTTGAATGCTGGATAAATGAAATACGAAATTAAAACAGCTGTGATGTAGGACAACGTAACAGGTGTTGTTAAAATAAAAAGCAACTTGACCTGTGTCTTGCGAGGACCTCCACAAAAGTGCTTAACAATAACACAAGCTTGTAAACAAACACATAGAAAAAATAACACTATTAACGGCACTTTTTCCTTCGGGGTCAACTTTGTACGAGTGATTCCAAACGCTTGAAAGCAAATTCTATAGATCGCATCCAGGGTATAAAATGCCAGACATAAAAGACACAGTTTAAGCTTCATTCCAGAAATTTGAAAAGGCCGGAAGTAAAAAAGACAATTAAGAAAAAACCAGTAAAAATATAAGGAACAAATGATGACTTCTGATATGGTTCGCATCCATTGCAGTTTTTCCGGGATAAATTTTATGGAGTAACTTTCACATTTAAGCAATGTTTGATAACTGAGGTAGTATACGACAATGGAAACTGTGCCAACCGCGATTGCACCGAGAATTGATATCAAGAAACCAAAATAAAACGATTTCCAAAGTGAACACAATAACGATGGTCTCAATCTTTTCCAAGCCATCCCTTGATCATCAAGCGGTTCATGATACAAGCCTTCGTCACTTTCTGTTGCAATGGCGTTTAACATTCTAGCATCTGTTCTACCAGAGCTTAAATAATCGAGAGTTGTTGCGTTTTTGTTGCTATATTCCTGGTAAATAATTTCTCCGTCAATTGGATGACCGTACCACTCCAAGCCTGTATCGGTTAAGGGGTCGTACTCAAATAAATGAGCGCTTTCTACGGCCTCGTCAAAATCATAATGCTCCGCCACACTTCGAGTGAAACAGTACACTACATGACCAACAAACTCTATCAACGTTTGAAAATACATTTTTGTTGAAAATCTTCTGCGGAGACCAGAGGCATGAAAGTTTGATTTGACTTTGGCACAAAATGGAGTTCAGCTCATACCTTCAAGAACTTTTATACCGTTCGTCAAAGCGTCAGAGTGTGGACTAAATATTTCAATTTTGACGACCCACTTAATTGCGACACTTTACTCAACCGTCAATTATTTGCATGTATTACGGAAACTGAAAATAAGGAATGAACTCATGACGCACGACAACAGTAGATAAGAAACTCGACGGTCGGAACCACCTAAAAAAAAAGGGTCGAACCACCGAAAAAGAAAGGGGGGTTTGCTGAGAAAGTAAAGGGCATAAGGAATGAAGCTAAAATTAAAAGTTGGGGACGATCCCTCATAACAACACCAGAAGAGTTACAATTTTGAACCTTCCCGTTTTGGCAGAGAGGATAAATAGAGCATAACGCCGGGGGCTAAAAGAAAATGTTTTAACACTTCCAAGCCAGCAAAGTACGGGAGATCATTTTTACTGTTGCGGTAACCAACGCAGTCATATCTTTCAGACCTTTTTGAGCTTCTTGCAATTCCTTTAATTTTAGAGGGCTGACCAGGGATCAGTTAATTTTTCGGCGCACTTTGTAATAGAAGGGGTCAATATCACTCTCGTCACCCGTGAAATTTGATCAGAAGTTTCCGAGTCAGACAGGGGACACAGAAGACAACTCTTGACAAATATTAATTTTCTTTTAATGATTTAAACCCTAAAACATGTAACTATTGTTAATCAGATTAGTGAGAAAACTAATAAATAAAGACGTTGATTGATAGTCGAAAGCTTTAAAAAGCCTCTTTATCGAAAAGGAAAATCTCATTATCATAACTTTAAACAGTTTGTCCATAAATATTTTGTTTACGACCATTTAGAGCTGTTCATAGAGGTTTTCTGACGCGATTAGCATTTGGAAACTGAAATCATACTCTATTAAAAAAAAAACCAAAAAAACTTATACCTGTTTCTACTCACCAGAGAGTTAAACTATTAAATTTTTAATTCAGAAATTAAATACCTACCTACATTTTTGGTAAGAAACTCAAAACAAGACAATTCATCTCGGAAATAACGATAGCCTTCGACAAAACGTCGGCCTACCTTCGGCGGTTCACTCGCAAATGTCGAATTCGTATTCACAATGCCAAATAACAAAAAGATTTAGTCAATTAGCTAGACGTCAGATTTTCTGTTATCGACCGCTGATCTTGGAACAGCGCTACAACCCTCCACTGGAATTTCTCTACCTAGCTAATGATGTCAGAGGTTAGAAGACCCGACTTCGACTCATCGTCAACCGAATACAACTCAGTAAAAAACTGGTCATAGCTTACTAATGAAATTATCTCCACATTGCGTTTAAGTCGAAGCCTTGATATCCACACGATTTCGTTGAAAATGCCGAAGAAATTTGTTGTCGACTAGGCATAATGTCCCTTCACCAGTATGAGACCAAGTGTACCTCTGGGCACCAAGCTTGGCATGACTCGACCCAGTGCTCACCTGCAGCTGTGGGTGATAACATTAAAAGCAAATCATTCACTCTCTTGTCGTGGTTCTTCTCCTTCACCTTGTTGTGCTTGTGAAGCAGTTATGGCCTGAATTTGTCCCAGCAGTTGTTGAACATCTGGTTGGTTGGGATCGATAGCGACGTAGACGGCGTTACTGTCGACTAGAGGTACACCATCCTCTGATGTCACTGGGACAGCGGTACTCTCTTGCAACACATGCTCCGTGACCATCTGATAAAGTAAAGAAAGTAAGGTCATTCTTCATTTCGTTGTATTAACCCACACATCCGCGCTCTACATAATTTACACGCGTGATTCGCGCGCGCCATTAACAAACTGCAGAGTTCGCCGTGGAGGTGGACGATATTTTCTCGAAAATGTTTACAGTGAATCTTGCTTACCCTACGCACCTCGCACCGTATAATTTCCACGCGTAATTCGCGCACACCCAAGTAAAAAATTGCTTAGCTACTCAGTAAGGTGACCATTGGTTTCTCCTTTTTTTGTCTTAGATCGGAAACAACCGTTAAACTGTGAATTTGGAGTGACTTGCTGTAGCGTCATCGCCTTTAAGCAGGCTTATATCCTGAGTTAAATTCAAAATAAAGGTTGAATTTACCATTTATAGCGTGACTTTAAACCATATTTATAGCGTGACTTTCAACTTTTTACAGCGTGACTTTAAACTGTATTTATAGCGTGACTTTAAACTTTATTTACAGCGTGACTTTAAACTATATTTAAAGCGTGACTTTAAACCATATTTACAGCGTGACTTTAAACTATATTTATAGCGTGACATGACGCACTACCTCGTTATGTTGTCCTTCAGCCTGTTCTTGGATCATAACTTCAGTTCCTACAACCATTTCCGTTTGCCCAGTTCCCTGGGAAGTGTTAGCATCGCTGGGGACATGTATTAAACCGGAGGGATTCTGCATCAAGTCAGTTGCCTGTTGAACTGCAGCCTGGTTGACGATCTGTTCTGCAAGTTCAGCGCTGATTTCTGGAATAGTGACTACAGTGAAAGGAAGACTTAAAGTAAGATTTATGATCAAGTCTCTTTGATAAATCTTTTAATCTAAATTTGCTCTATCCAAACACTTTACAGTGCATTTCGATTGTAGCGCAAAATCAAAACCAAATCAAACACAACAGCCAAACAGAGAAAATGAATACACCTCTTGACGCCATATGAAGGCAGCTTTCGGAAAGGCGGGAAAACGCGAGACGCCAGAGACCAAGTTGCTATCGGCTTTTGAATCTGATTGGTTGAGAGCGTGGTGCAAGATTTCTGAACCAATCAAAGTGCGTAAATAAGCTAAACCAAAGCATTCACAGATTTCTAGTAAGACTCGAGTGAAAGCTATTTTGACTAACAATAATACAAAACAGACTTGGCCTTAAGGTTTGTCCGTGTAGATGTTTTTAGACACTTTTTAGTACGCATGAGTCGCGCATGGCAACGCGGTTTTTCCGTACCTGACAATTTTTACATATTTTCCCGCGCTCAGCACCGCAGCATCTTCTCCTGTTATTGACAACAGTTATACCTTTCTCTGCCCTTGACATCGTTGCAAGTTTTCTTTGCGCTGGCCACAGTTGGCTTGTTTTCTGCGTTCAGCTCAGCCGTTAAATAATTTTTACAAAAACAAAACCAACCACATCTGAAGCCGCGTAGCTTACCTGTTGTAATCTGAGGTTGTTCGGCGTCTTGTTCGCCTTCACTTCCGCTCGCTCCGCCGCGTCCAAGCCGCTGTGTTTGTACCTGATTCAGTAAATGCTGCGCTAAAAGCAACTGCTGGGCCAGAGTGATCTTAAACTCGCTTCCCGCCTGGTCTGCGCCTTGAACAACAATCTGTGGTCCCCCGGCGCCCTCGGTCACTTCTGCACTCAAGTTGTGAGGGACGATCTCGCCAAGGACCTGGGTAACTTGTTGTAAGAGAGAAGTATCCGGGACTTTGGATTCTTGTGCCTTTGTTGTATCTGTGACTTCGCTCTAGCGTTATAAAAGCAGAACGGTTTTTGAAACTGTTAATTATGTAATTCTTCACTCTAAAGCAAGACTTATGTAATTTCTAATTACTACACCACTACTAGCACAAAGTTTGCTCTAGAATACCTCTTGCTCTTTGACTGCCTCGGTTTGAAGTTCTCCTTCAGTATCAGCTTTCCCTGCCTCATTTTCAACCAGACTTTTGCCTTCGTTCTGAATACTTTGGGCAGCGGAATCTGCCTCCATAGTACCCAGGTCTTCCTGATTATCCACGTCCATATTTTGCCGAGAAGAGCTGTCGTCATATTTAAAGTCTGTCTGGCTTTCCTGACTCGCATGTTTAGCATGAGTGTTGAGATGATTTTTTAAATAATTGAGCCGAGTGAACTTCTTATCGCAGTGCTCACAGGCAAAAGGTTTTTCTCCTTTGTGGATGTTCAAGTGTCGTTTGTAAGTCGTCAGATAGTTGAATTCCTTTTCACAAGTGTCGCATTTATATGGACGGACACCTAAAGAGATAGAGAGGGCATCGTTAGGGTGCTTGATGTATAAAATTGAGTTTATTAACTTGTAATTGCTTACCTGTGTGTAAACGAATGTGGTTCTTGTAACTGTCCAACCGAGTGAATTCTCTCCCACAGTCCTCACACCGAAAGGGTTTAAAGCCTGTGTGAAGGCGGAGATGCCGCTTGTGACTTCCAAAGTCTGAGAAAACTTTCCCGCAAAAGGTACACTGTCAAAGAAAGAAGACCTCATTAAACCATGCTCCTTTCATGCTGACAAGTTTTGATAATCAGTGGGAATATAAGAATTTAAAAAGGTCTTCCTTGGAATTCCCTCTTTCTAGAAACTAACGACAAAGGCCTTTGCCAGTGAAGACAAAAGAATGAATGTCTCAGTTTCCTTTGAAGAAATGATTACAAACTCACTTTGAATGGTTTCTCCCCTGTGTGTGTGCGCGCATGTCTTTTCAGATCTCCTAGGTTAGCAAAGCCGTGGCCACACTGCTCACAGGTATAGGGTCTTTCCCCAGTGTGAACACGAATGTGTGTCTTCAAATTGTATGACTTGTTGAATTCCTTACCACAGTACTCACAAGGATAAACCCTACCTGCAAAAAAAAAAACCGCATTTTGTTTGAGCTGAGCAAACATCAAACAAGTGATACGTTTGGTTGGTCCACATATTTCTTCATCGAGTAAAATTCAATGAGTGTAGTGCTCCAGTCAGAACTAGTGAAGGTAGAATGATCTAGGCTTTCATTGCGTTTGAGATAAGCAAACATCAAACAAGTGGTACGTTAGGTTGGTCCACATATTTTTTCATCGAGTGCAATTCAATGAGTGTAGTGATCCAGTCAGAACTAGTGAAGGTAGACTGCTCTAGGCTTTCATTGCGTTTGAGATAAGCAAACATCAAACAAGTGGTACGTTTGGTTGGTCCACATATTTCTTCATCGAGTGCAATTCAATGAGTGTAGTGATCCAGTCAGAACTAGTGAAGGTAGACTGTTCTAGGCTTTCAGCGACTAAACTAGTGCGAAATCCATGATCATTTCCTTTATTCTCATGGCCTAAATGTGTGATTCAGGAATGATATTGTGAGGAGAAATTACATGCTAATCACTCTTAGGGGTTCAAGGGTTAATAGTAAACAGACCAATGGTAGAGGCGGAGCAAAACACAAGGGAGGCCTGGGTCAGATTGTACAAAGAATGGCTTTCTTTACACGACCCAAACGTTTTTTCACTTCTCTACTGCTATGGTGCTGGTTACCTCCATGCCTCATTTTACTACCTGAATGTCTGGAAGAGGTTATAAAGAGAGTGATTTGCAACAGGTAATCCCATGGCAAAGAAAAATACCATCATAAGTAGCCTGTGTAAAGCTGCTCCCTACCCTCCAAAAGAAAATCAATTTTCTTTAGGAGGGTAGGGAGTGGCCATACACAGGCTACATAGTAAGCCAATGAGAACTCAAAGTGAATAAAAGTAATTAAGGGGGTAAGTTTCTAAACAAACTGTGCTGCTGTGTCTGTGCAGGGTATTACAAGATAATGGTAATTTTGTGTGGTGAACTGAGTTGATGATGTAAATCTGCCCCAAAGAGAGTTTCTGAAGCTGATGTTTCGAGCGTGAACCCTTGGTCAGAGCAATGGATGAAAGGCTAACAATGTCAGTTTTAGAAAATCTCCATGGTGGCCACTATCAACACAATTGAATGAAAGTAAGCTATCTCTGGCATGGAAACACACAATCAATGGACCAAAATGCAGATTAAATAAATCTAGTTTTGCATCTGACTGTTTGAGAGCAAAAATTTCTGAAATGATTGAGCCCATCAATTTCTGGTTGATGGTCATTGACTGCCTTTCTAGTGTGTAAAATAACATAATTTTAAAAAAAATCAATTTTTTTTAAAGTGTTACCTCCATTTGAAACAATCCTGGTTCCAACAGCTAGAAGAAATCAAAAGCCATTACAGTTAGTGTGAATACATTTTTTTATCAATTGAAATAATTTATATCAATGAAATTGTCACTAGTATGAATCTCATTCTATGGAAACAGCCCCAAAGACTTCTTGAAAGTGCTATGAAAACTCTCATGGCCTTTTATCCTTCTAGAATAGCTTAAAAGACAACTTTGCTGTATATTTGAGGCCCAGACACAAACTCTCCTTGTAAATAGCATAGTAAAATGTATAGAGAACAGTAGGGAGGACTTTTTTTTTTTTTTTTTTTTTTTTTAATTTTTTAAACAATTTTATTTCCAAGACGATCACTTACACTACTTACAGTATTAATTACACTTACATTGTACTTGCTACCTACACTACTGATACTTATACTTACACTAATTATGCATACACTACATTACGATACATACAATATTATTAACATTAATTTAATTTACGGTTGGCGTGTTTACAAAGTTCTTTTCAATTAAAAGACAATCACAAGTAAACATACAGGTCTCAAAAATGCTAAATTTCTTTGGATATTTACTTTTGATATAGCTTAAACAAATATTTATGAAATTAAGTATAAGTCTAACCTAAAACAACAGCAGCATGAAAAATTAAAGTAAAAAAGCCCACGTGCAATAAAATTTCAGAAGTTCTTTTTTTGCAGACGCGATCTCTTTTAGGGAGAACTTGCATACTGATGTTAAGGTATACAGTAAAGAGTAGACACCAACCTGCTGTGGAATCTCCTGACCCAGACAAAATAGCCACCTCTCCACTATCCAGCTGAGCATGTACTTGCTCATTGGTGTCCATGACGCCAGATGACTGCTGCATGTTCTGCACAGCTGAATGAACCCGACGCAGTACCTCGTTAGCCTCCTCATCTGGAACTTCAGCTTGTACAATCTCCATAACTGGATCAAAAGAAGAATATCAAAATTTATGTCAATTCCCTTATCAGTTGAATGATTACTTGGCAGTGATGTTGATCCAACAAGTTTGTATTTGCACATTTCCCAATTATAAATAAGAATATCAGCAGATGGTTAGCCCTTAAACTCCCATGAGTGACCAAAACAGAATTTCTCCTTGCAATACCAATACAATATCAAGCAGACAAGTGATGAGAATATAGAAAAATATCAACTAGGAGGTAATTAGATGATCCAATACCAAACTCTCTGAACTAACATCATAAGAATTTATGACAGGCAGTAAGGAGAATAACTAACAAGATGCTAGAAGTGAAAGGGATAACTTATGTTTGCACGTTTACCTTGTGAGGCTGTTGTCTCCACATCACAGTGATGCCCAACATTAATAACTGTGGCTTCAATTGTTTCACAACTTATCTGCTGAATCTGTGACATCTGTGACAGCACATTGGCTGCAGTAGCTTCCTCTTCACTTGACATGGCTGCAACTCTTTCTTGACCATGAAATCACTTTGAAAAGAAGTTAAAGAAAGTTGAAAGCAAAAGTTAGTTTATTGTACATGACTTAACCCTTTAACTCTCATGAGTGACCAAAACAGAATTTCTCCTTAAAATATCAATACAATGTCAACCAGATAAGTGATGAGAATACAGAAAAATATAAATTTGGAGATAATTAATTGATCCAATACTAAATTCTCTGAACTTACATTATAAGAATTGTATAGTTGTCAGTAAAGAGAATTACAAATTTGATCTAAGAGTTAATGGGTTAATCAGAACAGTAAATAAAGTGCAAAGGTATGAAAACAAAACAGAGTTAGCTTGGGTGGAGAGTGACTGGGATCTAATTTCTCCTAACAACATCATCCTGAATCACACATTGAGGTCATGAGATTAAAGGCAACGATCACCAACCATTGAAGCTCTTGATGCTTAAACAAATTCTCCTTATCAGCATCTTAGGAAATATACAGAAAACCCTTGGAATGACTATCATCTAATTTCTCTTTACAAATCACCCTGATTCACACATTATGGTCATGAGAATAAAGACAATGATCACCAACCAATTAAGCTCTTGATGCTTAAACAAATTCTCCTTGTCAGCATCTCAATGTACAGAAAAAAAGTTTGGAAATGTACAGAAGAAAAATTTACAAAGGTTAGGAAAAGGTACAACTACAGTCCTCTGCAAGTTTGATTAGCTAAATCCACTCTTTTTTTTTTCCTTTTATCATGTTTTTTTTTTAGATGAGTCCAAGCTAGCTGTTAGAAAGAGGTTGTTTTTGTACAAAATAAAGTTTCTGCCAAAACATTGAGATCTTGCAAATTCAAAATGTTCATATGTTTCATGCAGTGTCTAATCACCCAGCTACAGTTTTAACTGGACTAAATGCCCAGCAGTGGGAAATTTCACTGAAGGTTCTATCAAACTTCTAGAGAGTATTGGATGTTTTGTTAGAAATATCAGGCAATTTCAAAAATTATTTTGTTGTTTCAACTGACAAATTTTCCAAGCTTTAGCATGCTGTCAAGTCACTTGGTGTACCACACTAAAGAAACAACTCTGACCAAGCCATGCACAAGCTGGGAAGATGTCCTAGATTAAGGCAATCGAAATTACTTGACTATTTCTAAACAAACATGGGACAGTTTCATGAGTTTACACAAGGTTTTCTGCAGGAATATTTCTGTGAGGAGCATTGGTCTATTTGGGACAATGCCCAGCTGCCAGGCACTTACAGCCACCATCAGATAGCAACAGAACAAAATATAGTGACATTAAATAATACAAAAAAAGTTAAAAGTTCAGTAAAGAAAATAGAGAAAGATGTCTTTTGTCTTGTCATAAGCATGAGATAAAGAAAAAATTCTGAGTTCCCATTAGGAACCAAACCTCAGACCTTCAGATTCCACACTTCAAAGCTCTACCACTGAGCCACAGAGACTCTACAGTGAGCAAGGCCCATTATCACATTTGTATAAGACATGCATCCTGCATATTGCTAGGATCAGCAAGAGAGCTAGCATCACATTTTGTAAATAGAAAGGTGGTAAGGTTTAAGCTTGGTAAAGAAAATAGAAATACGTTTTCATCCTGCTGATCCTAGAAGTATGCAGGATGCATGTCGTATATGGATTTTGTGATGGGCTTTGCTCACCACTGAGTCTATCTACCATAGAGTCAATAGAGTCTAAAGAGCCACACGCAACCAGAGACGTGCAAAAAAATGACAGCAGCGAACTTATAATCAGTTTAAGGGTGTTACCATTTTATCTCACCAGACGGTCTTAACTAATCCAAAAGGAAAATGTCAACCAGTGAGATACGAGACTTATTTAAGATCCTCAAGTTGAAGTTTGACATTCACAATTAAAATCTAGTCCAGGTTTTCAGAGAATTCGAAATAATTTATAGTTTATTTTCGTCAGTTTCGATATACAATGAAAATGATCAAAGAATATTCTCCGATTTAAAAAAAACTTGGAATAAAAAACTTTCTTTCCCTTTCGACGTCGCAAAATGCGCGCACATGTTTATGTATAAGCTCAACTGATTTTCAAACGCAAAGTTTACCTTCACGAATTCAAAATTTCAAAGGAAGCAATTCAGTCGCTGCTTTCACGGCATACATTTTAACAGGATACAACGACAGAACTTTAAAAATCACAGTAGAGGTAGTTATGATCCATAGAGGTCGAAGCAAAAGAACTGTAATATTGCGCATAAACGGATGAAAAAGGCTCATCTTCCCAATCAACAATGTAATAGACAGACAATACAATGCATTGCATCGAAATTCGATGCATCTCCTCTGAAATTCCCACCAAAATCTCGATTACAATGAAACAAGGCAGTCATGGACATCCTTGTTGATTCAAAGCCTACCTCTGTAAGGAAAGAAAGCAGAAATCTTGCTATGTCGCCGCGCCTTTCCAATCCAATACTAAAGATGGTGGACGCTAAGCAAGCGTGGTTCCTTTGCGAAAGCCTACAGCCTTCCCGAAATGCACCTGAACTCAGTGTTTCCAAGATGGCGTTGTTGGCAAGGCGTCTCATATAAGAATTGGTAAGTTTTGACGCTATTTTGTGGTATGTGGAGTACTTTTTAAGAAAAATCAATGTAGTTTTATGTTTAAAGCTTGGGATGCGTGGATTGATTTTTTGGATCATTAGTTCTGGTCGATAAGCGTATTTCGCCTGCGTGGCATAACTCGCCTACGTCACGGGTTGGCTCGCAAACATGATTGGTCGACTCGCCTACTATCGCATCCATTCAAGTTTCTTCCTTCTGCCTTTCCTGCTTGCGTGTTTGGTGAATTTGCCGTCGTTTACTCGCCCGTTAAATTCATTTGCGATCACGGAAAAGAAGCGGAAAAGAAGGATTGAAACCTCTTAATGTGTTTTTCTCAGTTAAAAATACGAAGTCATATTTTTGAAACCCGGAATCGAAGGCATTTACGTAGTCAATTCGTGCGCAATTACATCCATTGAAGTCTACATTCTGCTATCAAGTTCCCGTTTACTTCAGCATCTACTGGCTGTGATTTCAAGGAGACATGAATACCATAGTAGAAGTGATTCCAGAGGGTGAAATTACTTGTTTTGAATATGACTTATCTACTCAACTTCTGAGTTTAGTAGGTGAGTATTGGAAATCATTTGAATTACTGCTGTCCAATTTTGCATCAAAATCGGAATTTTCCTATATCATGAGCATGTTCTTTTTTTTCTTTTTTTCTGCATAAGCAGATCCAAAAACCACAGAGCCTTTTGCCACATCAGAGACACCCAATTATATTTCAGGTGTTGCTCAGCCTATATCCACAGAATCTGATACATCAACAGTCCCACCTACCCATCAATCAGGTACTGCTGAGCTCATTACCTTCAAGTCTGAAGCCTCAACACTACCTTCTACTAGTGGTTCAAATGCGCATTCTGCAGAGGCTGAGACAGTGGAGACATGTTCTTCCTCAGAGTTGTATGTGGCAACAATACCACTTACTGATCTTTCTGTACTAGTTGAACCACAAATCAAGTGTTCATTGCTAGAGGAAGACCCAACCACTCCAACTTGTGTTCCATTGACCTTTACTCTTGTTGAGAAAGCAACTAAGCGAAGAGGGGATAGACTAATTGATAGCATGGGCTTCTCCTATAACATCCGCCGCAAAGGGGCCAATATAACTCGTTGGCAATGCACCATTAGGAGGAAAGAGTTCTATTGTAAAGCAGCAGTAGTGGAAAGAAATGGTGTCTTCACCTTTGGGAATTTTTCTCATAATCATGAGCCTCCTAAACCAAGAGCCCAAACTCCCTCGCGGAAGACCAAGACCAAGGCAGTGGTGGAACAGTGCAAGCCTGAGCCAACCAGCACAGATGAGGTACTACACTCTCACTTGTTTTCTTTCCTTTTCATTAACCTCTATGAGTAACTAGAATTTCATTTCATATTACAATTTTACCACTAAATCAAATATTAATTGGTCATAAAAAGAAAGGAAATGATCACCAGCTAAAATAGTTCTTGATTCTTATTATAATAAACATATTCTCATTGTCAGTATTATTGGAAATGTGTAGAGAACAGTTTGGAGAATATACATACTGATCTTAGCTGTAAAGGGTCAAGATTTTTCTGAAATCTTCTTTTATCTAGGGCCTCCTCTCAAAATACTTTTACCATTTTGTCACCATCTTTTAAGCACCCACTCAAGGCTCTTCTATCAGTCATCTTTCTTTCAGTTTCCTTTCTTAACCCTTTAATTCCTTGAAGTGATTAACAAAAAACTTCTCCCTATAATATCCATACATTATTCAGTAAACAGGTAATGAGAATATTCAAACTTATCAGGTAGAAGCTGCTATCTTGATCTAGCACCAAGTTCTCATAACTAATTTACAAGGAAACGTGTAGCAGCTACAGGGGAGAATTAACAATCAGATCTTGGTAGTTAAAAGGTTAAGATTACTTCATTTAATCACATCATTTTATCACATTCTTTATTTTCAAAGAGTTTATGTGACATTTTGAACTGGTGTTTCAGGAAAATCTTCAGCCGACAACTACTCTATTCCAAGCTTTGCCTGAACCTTGTGGTAACATAGAACATTCAAACCCTAATGCTGCTCAACTGCCACCAAATGATAACCAGGCTGATTTGGTTGAGTCAGTTATTCAGACTTCACCACCCACTCCCGCACCTCCGACAAATGTTCCTATGACCTATCACTTGGTGGAGGAAGCATCTCTGCGGAGACGGAACAAACTGATTGACAGTAAAGGCTTCTCCTACAATGTCCGTCGTATGAAAGCTGATAAAATTCACTGGCAGTGTAGCATAAGGCCGAAGGGAAACCACTGCAAAGCCACAGTGCTTGAGCAGGATGGTGTGTACACATTTGGGAAACATCCCCACAACCATGGTACCTACTCAGGAACTCTAGCTGCTGCTCAAATAGTGTCTACCATTAAAACAAAGGCATTGGAAGAGTTATCCAAGCCAGCTTCTGTCATTGTTAAAGAGGTATTTCTTTCTGTCTTTTTATTTGTCTTTGCTGATGAGCTTCCTGTATCCCAGTTTCATTAGCCAAAAGTTACTTGCCAAGAATAATTCCTGCTACCCTGGATGGGATCTTAGGGAAGAGATGTCATTTACCCCCTGGGGAGGGGTGGAGGACTTTGGGGATCACATGATTTCCATGGGGGGACAGAAAGAGGGTCACTTGTCGCCCAAAGAGTATAAACAAGACTTTAAAAAATTGACTGCAAATTGACTGCCAGTGAGAGGAGAACCATATGAAT